TCTCTCTCTCTCTCTCTCTCTCTCTCTCTCTCTCTCTCTCTCTCTCTCTCTCTCTCTCTCTCTCTCTCTCTCTCTCTCTCTCTCTTCTCTCTCTCTGCATTCATCTCTCTCTGCATCTGTCCCTCTCCCTCGCTCCCCCCTCTCTCTCTCTTAAGTATTTGAGTAATTGACCCTCACATCTCTCTCTCTCTCGCGCGCGCGTGCGTGATCACAGGTCAGTACTGCGAGGAGGACGTGGACGAATGCGCTCTCATGTCGTACATCTGCCGCAACGGCGCCACCTGCGTCAACTCCTTCGGCAGCTACCAGTGCATCTGCGTCAACGGCTGGACGGGTCCCGACTGCAACGAGAACATCGACGACTGCGCCGTCGCCGCCTGCTTCAACGGCGCCACCTGTCATGATCGCGTCGGCTCGTTCTTCTGCGAGTGTCCGCCGGGACAGACCGGTACGTCGCGGGGGGCGGGGGCAAGGCGGGGGGCGGGGGTGAGGGGCGGCGCGAGTGGTTGGGGAGGGGGGAAAGCTGCTAGTAGCGTGCGTTGATTCCGTGTATATTACTTTATGTTACGTTTGTGTCTATCGTGTGTGATTCTAAATAACGCGACTATCGCGCACACCTCTCCCCTACCTCATGCGTGCGTGCATTTATCCACCCATTCTCCACCTTAACCTCACACACACCTCTCCCCTACCTCATGCGTGCGTGCATTTATCCACCCATTCTCCACCTTAACCTCACACACACCTCTCCCCTACCCCATGCGTGCGTGCGTCTATCCACCCATCCTACACCTTTACCTCACACACACCCATCCCCTACCTCACACACACCTCTCCCCTACCTCACGCGTGCGTGCGTCTATCCACCCATCCTCCACCTTAACCTCACACACACACCCATCCTCTACCTCACGCTGCGTGTATGTGTATTGCAGGGCTGCTGTGCCACATTGACGACGCATGCGTCAGCAACCCGTGTAACGAGGGCTCCATCTGTGACACGTCGCCGATCGACGGAAGCTATGTCTGCAATTGTCCGATGGGCTACTCCGGCAAAAACTGCGAGAACGACATCAACGAGTGTCTGGCAGGTGGGTGGCGAGCAAGGAAGCAAGCAGGGGGGTGGGCGTGGTGCGTGGCGAGCGGGGGGTGGGGCGTGGGTGGCGAGCAAGGAAGCAAGCAGGGGGTGGGCATGGGTGGTGAGCAAGGAGCAAG